CAGTGAGAATTTACAGTTGAGAGATGGTGATTCAAGAACTATTGGTGAGCACCTAGAAAGTGAACTCGTTGTTCGACACAGTGGCACTCAGAGTCTACTTTACGTCTTCAAATTACCTAACGTACAGAAATGGTATTTTTCTCTGCCTAAAAAGGAGGGAAATACTGCTGCCAGCGTTTTATACCATCATTTGCAGGAACAAAGGATCAAATTTGGTACTATTGGTGATGCAAACCTTAAAGCTAAAGGCGGTACCGCTAAGAAATTATGAAAAAATTAATTTACTATACTCTGGAATCACAGGTGAAGGAGTTGAGATTGGATAAAGCGATCGTCGGTAGGAGCTCCAGTTTCGACGATTGTGTAACGGACGCAGCATCTTTGAAAGCTAACGTTGCCACGTCTGTGCTGCCACATTGCAAAAGATTTTTCGAAAGGGACGATTCTTCTTCATTGTGCTGTTGCTAAACCTTCTAGTGAGGAGGCTAAAGCTCTTGTAGAAGAAACACAGGATGCGATCCGGCTGACAAAGACATCAGTTTATTGACCGGTTTCAGATGGCCAGACTTTTTCCTTAAGATTTTTTGACGAGAGGTTGGATTTATTACATATGTCTGAAAATCCTGAATAAGTGGATCTCGTCATTACTAGGATTGATAGCGACTACACCATCATTTATCTAAAAAGGACGTGAGAGCGAACATGCTCAGTAACACTTTTTTGTCCAAACTCTTAGACGACTTAGTGGGATGTTTGTTCATTAATTTAGGTAGCTAGAAAAAAATACAGTTAGAATTGCATCCTGGAATTTTTTTATAATTATATGTGTTACGGATTTCACAAAAAATGAAAAGTTAAATGTTTGGTCTATAATAAAACACCTACTTCCTCCCAGCAGAAATCATGAGTATTCACTCGACTACCTTAAGGAAATTGATCAGTTTTCGATTTATGCCAAACGATCTTTACAGCATGTCATTCAATACCAGTGAAAAAATGTGATCATGTTACAGAAACAGATCAGTGTAAAAGTCAGCTGCAAAACATCTCGAGAATTATTCAAACCTAATGGAAACTGTCTAAAGTGGGTTCATGAGTGTTTGATGGATGTGAATTATATTTTTTCTGACTTCTCTACAAACACGGCGTCTCTGGACATCACAGCCTGTGGAATTTATCTTCTTAATAGACGATACCCGAGGCAAAAGTATCTCACGGCCAAGCTGAAGTGCCAATTTGGTGAGTACAATGATAACACGCGGGCTATTGATGTGCGATTTGGACATCAATAGCCCGCGTGCTGTCAGTGTACTCGGCAAATTGGCAAGTAAAGGTGTATGATCACTAAAGGCCATTGAAAGCGAGATGAACGGATTCAACAGCACACAGGCAACGCATAAATCAGGGAATTTTCCCAAGTAACATAATGAGGTATCATATTTGGAGTTGGTATTGAAGATGATAATGGTACTTTGACAGGATACTGGGAGAGTCTTATAATTTTGTGTAGAGTGACACATATATTTTAATATCAGTTGTAATTAATAAATTGATAAATTTATAATGTCACTCTTTAGATTGCAAAACGAAAAACCCTATCCTATTGTTTCTGAGTAATGCGGCGTCTTAACCAATCTGTAACGGGTTGCACCTACTATTGAATGAAAGGGTAGGTCACACAAGATGGTGTGACCGTACAAAGGTATAGATTACACACAACGGTGTAATCACACACTTGTGTGTAACGGGGTTACACGTACCCTGGTAACAGAGGTGTGTGTCACACGAGGTGTGCATGGTGTGACTGCACCCAAACAAGAATACGGTATTTGGCTAGCTAGCCACTATATATGCATGTACTTAGATTTTCCTAAATTTATTAAATATATATAGTAATAAAAATCAGTTTTGAATATAATCCGAGAGTCAATTAGCCTTGGGAAGGCAATAATTACTTTCGGAGTAAGCGGATTGCGATCCGCTAACTCATACTTGGTTCTTGTAAGGAACGAAACGTCGGGGGCCTAAAGTACGCTTCCTCAAACGCTAAGCTGCGGAGCCCCGCTGCACTTGGTAGCACTTGTAGTCAATCTACACCTGAGTCGTTTCGACTGATCTTCTGTGAGGTTGGAAGAATTCTCCTCTTTGCCCCAAGGTATGCAGAACGGGCTTAACAAGCTGATGTCCTTGCTTGGCCCTGAGGGCGTGCAATATCTTGTAGCACAAGGCCCCGAGGCGATCGGTGCGCGTCTGGAGGCGTTTTCGAGTTTCGAAAACGCGCTGCTAGTGCGACTGCAACATAAGTTGTCTGCATCGATTGCGTCTATGACGCCACCGTTGGTGACGAAAAACTTCCCCCGACCTAAGCCGCTCATGGTGAGCGTTAAGGTCTTTGAGGGGAAGTAAGA